CTGAAATTCTGACGCATCTGACGCACATCAAATACCTGAGACAAAGCAAAAGCAAACAAAAAAAAAACCGTTCAACCTCGCTGACCTTTAAACTTCACCCTTGCAATAATGCATTAAAACGTAGAGGCCGATTCTTACAGATCTGTAGAAAAAGTCTCCAGAAACCACCCTCTTTCTATAAGGTATCAGCTGTTACCTACCTCAATTCGAAAAACTTACTTTTACTGCTCCTTTCTGTAAGCGACCAAATTTCAGCTCCGTTGGTTCACCAATCATGAAAAATTCTGGCACCGCTCCAAGACTGTTAGCTTCCTAGAAAAGAAGCAAGTGCTTCCAGAAATGTTAAATGTTCAAGAAATGAGTAAATGTGTAACTATGAAAAAAAATAATAGCAAGGCATGAGCCAAACTAATATATATATATTCTCAATGCATACCACCATTCCGATGTGATCAAGTTCTTCACTAACAACAAATAGTAGACCAATGTTTTCGGCAAGAACCGGATCCTCCTTTGCAATCTGTTGGGCAGCAAATATCATTGCCGCTAGCTGTCCTGTAACAGAAAAAAAAAATTCGAAAAATACCAAAAAAAAAAAATCCGTTGTTTTAGCACAGAAAAAACAACTTATCAGAAGTAATCCTGACAGTCGAATTGATATACTTAAGCTATTCGAAGATTCCCTTCCCCCCGCCCCCTCCCCCCGCTCCTTGCTGCCGTTCTTCCTTAAAAAATCCGCCAGAATTTAGCTCTTGATCCGGCCAAGTAGAATGCAGCCTCCAGGTCAACCTGGAAGTGCAGATGGCGGAGTGTAAAGGAGTAGGAGAAAGCAGATTGATAGTGAGCGCGAGATAAGACGTTTCGGTTCATTAAGTCATATACGTCTTAACTATTCTGCTTTTTTCCTTCAAAAATTCAATCAATCAAATGTGTTTTTTCCAAAAGACAGAAATTCCGTTGCTTACTAAACTTACTTGGCCCACAATTCAGGTACTATAAAATCAAAATTACACAGTTCATGATCTGAAAAAGACAAACCTTTGGCATCATTTGCTCCTCGCCCAGATACTTTGATACCGTCGCATGCAGGCGGAATATACGGTGGAACAGTATCCATATGTGTATTCATGAGGTAACGAGGTCCTGTAAATCAAGCTTATTAGCGTAGCAGTGCTGACAGTTGATATCGAGATACGAAGCCAACCAGTAGCACACACACACACACACACACACACACACAAACCTGGAGGTTTATATGGAATTCGTGTAACAAGTAGATTGTGTCTTTTTGGATCACTTTTTAGCGGCTGACGTAACACATGCCATCCTGTGGTTGTGAAATATTGCGTTAACGCCGTTGATAAATCTTCTGAAAAAATTTGACTGGTAAACAAATTTCAAAAAAAAAAAAAAAATCCAAAATCAGATAAAATTTCACAACTCAACACCTCTACAGGGCCTTGTCAGTATGACGACTGCAGTGCTAAATCATGCCGGGCGCATGCTTCGCTATTCTGGAAAACTACATATTCCCGAGTGTTATTAAGATACATGGAGCAAATCTACCGCAGTCATTCTGAAAAGATGTATTTTTCGGTTTTTATTCAACATATCTACTAGATTTGGGTTGTCCAGGGCGCTGTTCTGTTCCAGGCAAGTACTATCCATTGAAATAATAGACCAGAAGAACTGTGTACTCAGGCGTCATTCTTTAAGGTGATATTTTACGATGCAAACTGTCTTTCATCGTTTAGATGCAGTAGTAGTAAGGTGATATTTTTACGATGCAGTCTCTCTGCATGTTTCATCCCTTAGCTGTAAACACAGACCGGACTATGCATGCGGGTAAGAATGAGAATCGTCAGTACAGCAGCCTCCTACCAGCCATATATTGGAAGGACATGTAACTAATTTGCAAGACGGATATGTGAAAGAAAAAAGAGAGACAGAAGGTGCAATAGCGAAAAGCGAAATTCAGAAGCAAAAAAAAGTGCTCTTCTGATGCTCAGGTGCAAAAAAACCCCAGGTATCACTCGCTTTTTCAGGCAATTATGCCATTTACCGATAGATAACATCAAGGAACGAAGGAAACTCAGACCTTCGTTGCCGGTGGTTGAATTGATCTGCATGAGCTGCGTGAGGAAAACCTCCACACGTTGCTCGTCCGGATCCAAAAATGGCAATTCCGGCATGATTATGGCAGCCCCTGAAATTTAATCAGACCTACTGAAGGCAAAAATACCAGGGGCACCAAAGCTGCGGGTACCCTAGAATTTACCGGTACCCTGAAATTGGCAGAAATACCAGAGACGCCACTGTGGGTACCCCAGAATTTATGCGTACTCTGAAACTGGCAAAAATCCCAAGAACACCAAAACTGTAGGTACCCTGAAATTTACGAGTGTCCTGGATCCGGCAAAAATCCCAAAAGCATCAAAATTTTGGGTACCCCAGAATTTACGGGTACCTTGGAATTGGAAAAAATACTAGGGACGTTACTACAAGTACCCTGAAACTGGTAAAAACACCGATGATGCCACAGTGGGTACCCTAAATTTACGATACCCGGCCCACCGGGAGATGACCCTCTGCCGAACATCAGAAGTTTTCGCAATCCCCTGAGGTCGAGCCGAGCCGAGTTTTAGTGGTTGCCTCGTCCCGTTGGA